TGTACCAATAACAATGTTCCAATAAACTTCTTCCGTGTCAAAAACTTCTGTATTCACATAAATCTCTTCCCAACGATTTAACTCTCCTTATATTTCTTCATCTTAATTTTTCCATTTCTTCGATTTTCTTGATTCCGGATGCATCATTGATGAATAAATACATCTCGATCAACGACGCTAAATTTTACGAACGAGTTAATCTCCTGTCCGCTGAAGGGTGCGGACCATGCGTTAAATTGCGTGTGAAACGTGAATATGCGAAGCGCAGCCGCTTGCTGATCCATGAAAAAGCAATCTTCGCCGAATCATGCTGTCGTTATCTCGAAGAAAGAAATAACGAAATCGCATATCTAATTAATATGATCAACGGTCGATTTTGGAATTCCCGTCTTATTCGAGAATCTAATTTTCAAAGTCACCGAACCGGCTTAGTGTCTGAAATTATTTAAAGCTTGAAGGAGATCCGGACATTAAAAAGTTGTGCTGGCAAAGTCTCTCAGGGGAGATTAACTAATAAAGTGTTTTTCTCCCTCAGGGAATATCGCGAGAGATTTACGAAAGGCTAATTGTGTGTCCCTTAACTCTTCCCCTTGTCCCTCTTATAATTGCTTCAATAAATACATTGGTTCTCGTTTCGGGAGATTTCAGCTAGACGTCGCGAATTTTTATTCCATGTCTCTCTGGAATTCTGTTGGCGGAAAATTTACGCGGAAAACTTGAAAAAAAGGCGCGGTCTCTAATTTAAGATCGCTCCCTAATCTCTTCCGCAATTAAAGTGCTACGCCACGTTCGTGAGAAAATTACGCGTAAAAGAATTCTCGTTAGAGCTCGTTCTTTTTGCTATACTCTGCCATCTCGTTATTCTCGACCGGCGTTTCAGCGTCCACGCCTCTTTTTTAACCTCTTGCTCTACGACGGCTCTTAGAAAATTCAACAAAGAGCCTGGGTGCTTAGCACTCGAGTGAAACGGGTCAAACGTCGCCATACAAGAGTGATGACGTACGAGATATAATCGTTTTAAAACCACTCGCGCGTTTTAATTGGCAGCGGTGCAAAGATCTTTCATACCCGCATACGTGGTTGTCTTCTGTTGCAAAAAAAAAAACTCGATCGCAAGGTACAAATAAAATGCAAATTGCTCGTGGAAGAAATATCATTATTACGCCATTATCACATCTAATTAACGCGATGTTTTTTCGATTGTCTCGATTGCCACTTGCGAAAGTACTTGAGCCTTTTTTGTAAGTTTTATCTCCTTACACATCTACACAGTTTACCCTAGTATTATAAATTATAAAAGAGTGTTATATACTTTATTAGTTATATCATAAGTATCGCAAGTAGGATTTCATTTTAGGAGAAAGTAAGCGCTACGCGTGTGCCAGTCGAAAAAAAGAACACCGAGTAAATGACTAAAAAAATTAACAATTAAAAGTAAAATAAAAAAATAAATTTGGATGACGAAGTATTCAAAGCAATTTTGTCCTACTTCGTCCGCAAACTGTCAAGTATTTCTTTGTGTGCTGCCAAATACAATTTTCTATAAAATTTATATAACTCTTATTAAAACGATTTCTCTGTTTTCTTTTTTGATTACTTCGTCACCCGAAGTGTAGGAGTACATCTCGATGAAGATAGTTTGATAAAAAAGCTATTAAAAATTTCATTCGCTTATGCTAAAAATGCGAAACGAGTGTGGAAAAGTAATCGAGAAAGGGAGAAATAAGAATGTAATCTATCAGTGAAAATCGACCATGGCACGGTTCTTGTGTATCGCGTGAGAGAGCGGGCAGTGCGAGTTGTATTTTTCATTATATACACATATGAGTCCGGTCTTTGCTTTGCCGGTAAACGATTCCCGCTGCGGTGGTTTCCTTACCTTTTCGGACACTTCGCGAGGTCCTTTTTCAGTGGCCTCCTCAGTGTCCCACGATCAGCATTTGCCCGTTAATCTTTCTCGCTCTTTCTCCCGACTGATGGATCGATCTTATCGAATCGACCATCTGTTCTCTCTTTCTTTTTCTCTCTCTCTCTCTCTCTCTCTCTTTCGCTCGCTCTCTCAGATTTTTCAATCGACTATTCAGTACGAGTCTTTCGCTCGCTCTCTTTTCTACCTTTTTACCCGCTCTTTCTTTCGCGCAGAAGCTCTCTATGGAATAACAGGAGATCTGCGTGAGACACAATCGTATTTTGCAATTGTCTTTCTTTTGTTCTGCTTTTGTGCTTTTGGTTACTTTCTTTTTCATGGTAACCGAACCCAACACAACGGCCGGATCGTCCAATCAGCGGATTTTCCAGCTCCTTTGTATGCGGTTCGTTTACTCGTCGTTCGACGACTATCGCGTTGCTTCGAGCGCGTCCACCCCTTCAACTTCGCTCACTTTGCATTCGGGATGCCACCAACGTGGATCTTCCCTTTTCTTGTTTACAAGACTGATCTTAAGGATGACAGTACTAACAACAGCGCGGATTTGTAGCAAGCACTTAAAATACGACAGCTCGACATGACAGTTTTGAATCCGCGTTGGCAAGCAACCCTGATGCGTCTCTCTTTTTATTCGCTTTGAATATTACGAAGATCCTCGAGGCGAAAAAATCGACAACAATTTTGTCATCCAGTTTCCGAAATTCATGACAAGTTAGATTTAAAGATTTGAGAAAAGAGTCTTGGAATTGCGAAATTCCTGCTTGAAAATTTACGTAATTTTACGAAACCATCGCGAATAGAATTCCATTGGTGCAGTAAATCGACGAGTCGCAAAAAAAGGTCAGGCTTTCAAGCTTTAATTGAGCCATTAAAGTCGCAATAAGAAGGCCTGCTTGATCAAACGGACGCTATTATCGAACCGGAAAAAAATCCGAAGGAGTAATCACTGGCCGTGATTCAAGAATATAATCCTATTACGTCCGAAAAGCAATATAACGACGACAGACGAAGATGTGCTATCTTCTCGGAAACGATTACTTTTGCGTCGTCCTTTTGACAGTAGTCTTAAACGTAAAAAAAATCGCAAACGAAGTCTTCCCGTCAGCTGTATCAAGTTTTATAGAATGAATTATCGATGTAAGTGGAGTAAATACAGACTTTCGTAGAAAAGATTTTCTCGATTTAACTTCGTTCTCGATTTTCATCATAAGATTTTCTCCATTCGCGTACATTGGCGTAACACTAAACGATATATTGCAAAGACGCGGTTATCAGCTAAATGAAGCTAAAGCGATGGTTTACGCGACGAGATTGACGCAGCCCGACAAGCTGCTGCAGTGCCGCCATGTGAGAAGATAATTAATCGAGTTGTTCAATTAGGCTGTTGTTGTTTGATATCAGCATCGACGCAGCAGATGCTGCGATCGTCGCGTGGTTGGCCGGGAGCTACAAAAATTGTACGCGGTAATCAAAGCCGAGGGCTGGCTGTATTATAAATGAAAATGTCTGAAGATTTCTAGTGAGAGCGAAATTATTTCGCTGCATCTATAGCTAAGCATCTATACGGCCACTTTTAATTGTTAACTACGTATATTATTATTAGAGTTTATAATTCTGCACGACGTGCCTATATAAAAAAACCGAAATGAAAGAAACAAATGAATGCAATCATCAATTCGAATTAAGCTCGAATTAATTGCTTAACCGATTTAAATTTACAAAATTATTTATCAATTTATGAAATTGTTTATATTATTACGATATACTTCTACTTATATGATAAAATTTAAAGTACCATTTTGACAAAATACGTTGTCACATTTTACCGCCTCGTTTATCTTCGATCGATCCGACAGAGCTTATCAAATCAACTACTGTATATGATAATTGACATAAATGAACGATAAAGCAAAGGTAATTTCTGAGCTCGAGACGTACTGATGGAAGGTGCAGTTACGATTCCTCGTATGAGCGAATGCACTGAATAAATTAAGACCATTTCGCGAAAGAGAAAAGAAAAAGACGAATACATATACATATAATAGCAAAATCCGTCTCGCGAACGGATCGTCGCGTATTGATCGCGACGAGGACTTTCTCCCGCGTACAGATTTTCACCAGCGAAGTGACCGGCCAATCGGGAACGAGAATTTGTGGATCACTCGAGGCCCTCGAGCAGAGATCAAGTCTCGCCAATCAGCAGCTCGCGCGCCACTCGGTGCAATCCACGAGTGGCCATCAGTCAGATTGATCCAGGCCACGAGAGAAATCTCTTTCTCTCAAGTCCCTGCGACCCGAGATCGTCCCCCTCTCGTTCTCCTTCCTCTCTCCTATCTCTCTATCTCTATCCGATTTCGAGCCCGTGAAATTAACTCGCGTTCCGTTAATTATATTGCGATTTAAGTATTTCTAGCTTTCTTTCTTTCTTTCTTTCTTTTTTTTTTTTTTTTACCAAAGACTCTAAGGAATCGCGACGTAGACTGTCGATAGCTCGAATCGTAGCCGTTTGAAAACGGTCGCTTCTACGATGGCGTCGTCAGCCTGACATCTCGTGCCTTTGATCGCATAGCGATTTATTCTAGTCTCTTAAATTAATGATCTTTGCATCGCGGATATCCATCTGACTTCAACATTAATGCTATTATGTATCAAAATGTAAATAACATTCGCAATAAATAGAGATTTTTTTTATCGAGCTTAACAATAAAACTTCATTTATTGTTAAATTATTTTACGACCATTTAATTCATCCGGGAAATTGATAACCTCAGTGGACATTCGGGACTCAAAGTACCGGACTTAAAAGTATCAGGCGACCACTGTTACTCGACAAAATTTGAAAACGTACACTTAAACAGACAGATTTATGAAGTCGTCATATAATCAAATGAATCGAGTTCTAGATCGTGGTCGCCGTTTCACATCGAGAGTGCGCGCATTCCGCAGAGGAATGCACCCACTCCACTTTCCTGGAAAAAAAGCAAAAGATTACATCTATTCGCAATGGAGATTAATAGCGATGTATATATATATGTATATATATATATATAAGTATAAGAAAGTTCATGCACACCTCAATCTTTCTGCCCTCAACCACGGTGCCGTGTAGCCTCTCACGTGCCCGGTCCGCGTCAGCACTATTTGCGAATGTTACAAAACCGAATCCCTGCATGCAAGGACAGACAAAACAACATGCATTAAACTCAACTTACAGACTGCCAGCGCTCCGCAAAAAGCCGACTGGCTGGGCCGACATTTCGTTTCCGCGCGCGCGTGCACATGTAACACGCACGCGCGTATATGTATATATTTCATTTACGTACATATAATATATGTACACACTAGCGAGGTAAGTGGTGGAGATGGAGGGCGAGGAGGGATGTACATATATGGAGGATACTCCGAAAAGGATCGTCGGGGCGCAACGAGGGTGACTGATAAAAAAAAGCAACCCCCGTCTCGCGCTACGACGATTTCATTTCGTTTAATGCGGTAAAGAGCGCGCGCGTTTCCGTCGCGATTTTTAATTATATTTTTACTACAGTATGACAAAAAAATCGAGAATTTTTTGAAGTGTAAAAAATGTTAAGATTTATTTATGTCAAAAGACAAATATATAGCTTCGTCGCGTTTATCTGCGAATTACGTGCGAGATACACTTTTCGACCATTTAGTTTCTTTTCCCGATCTTTAAACGGATTTTCGAACAGAGTCAATAGAGGATCGATTCGTCCCATTCTCATCGAAGATTGGACGGAAGACGCAGAAAGCTCGATTCTTCCGTTTCGCCGCGGGCAACACCGGCCAGCTCCTTTGTGCTACTCTCTTTCTCTTTGAACCCTTCCATCACCCTCAGCCCTGCCAGCGTTTCCTTCTCCGAGCCGGCCCTATTTATTTCTTTGACGCACAATAGCCGTCTCCCTCTCTGGAGCGTTATGTGTCGCGCGAGACACGGCTAATTAATTCCCGAGGCTCCCTCGAGACGCGACGAAGCGACAGAAGCTTCCGTGGATATCTCGTTTTTTGTTATTTCCCGTCAATCTCGCGCTTCTCTTATTCCACCGCTATTGCAAAAACTAAAAGGAATAGCTATCTATCCATTTATTCGTATCCTGTCTTCCGCGCTTTATTATTTCAGAGTTTCAGGACAAAACTTTAAGAATTCGCGCGCTTAATGTCCAGAAACAAAACCAGAGTTGTTTAATAAAACCGGATAAAAATCACAACGATTTTAGACAATTAATCAGTGATTATTAAAAAGTCAAGTGTCACAGAAATATTTCAAATGTTAAAGTTTAATCCTACAATGGCATACATGGCTGTCTGGATCTTGCCATATTAAAATTATAATACGTGTACAGAGAAAAATGAATTAATAAATTAATAAAATTAATAAATTAAATTAACCTAATTGGCAATAAAATTAATATCTTTATCTTCACAAAAATGAAAAGATTACAACTGACGGCGAGATATGGATTCTTACTTTTTTGGGCCGAGGGCTTGAAAGGATTGAGAATCGCTTTTAAAATATCGAAGGATTTTCACGGGGACATTCACATAAATTCCTCGTTTCACTTCAAGGGATGGGGGGCACTGTTTCGAAATGTCGACGACCAGGGGGGTCTGCGAGCGCCTCATACTGCTTACGGAGACGCACCAAACAACGTGCAACAAATAAGTAAATATAAAAATCATGGTAAGAAATCATGATCATGGTCACATTAATCATCTCATTATCATATCATATCATATCATATCGTATCATATCATATCACGGTCATCGTCATATCATTAAAGATTCTTGCTTGTATCGAGAGGTGCGTGTACGAGAAAAAATAAACAAAAAAATAAAAAAAATTTGACTAAAGGGGTTACAGTTAGTCAGTTGTGAGGGTAAACGTGAAGGACAGGAAGGGCGTAGAACGTGTCATATGTATGTGTGTCACTGTCCACGCATGTGTGAATTTTCTGTCAACGCTGAGGAATAACGGGAAATTGAGCATGAGGCGTAAAAAGATTAGAATCGTGATCGTTGTTGAGAAGGGGTGAACCCCTTTGTCATTCTTTTTTTTAGATTCGAAATATACGCTGCTGTAATATATCACGCAGCGTATACACTCTAAATTTCTTGGAATGAAATCTCACTCTAAGTGAAAATATTTCACTTCTTAAAAATTGTCACTCTTTTTCAAGAAGTGAAATATCTTTTCATTCTTTTTCTAGAAAAAATGGCTGTATTTTCATTCTCTTGGAGTGAGAGTTCATTCCAAGAAATTTAGAGCGTTGAATGGAAGAACTTGGTAGAGAAAGATCGATATACATGGCACGCTCCCACGCATCACGACGGTTATCTCATGTCGCGGAGAACGCGAGTTCCGCACGAAGGAAGAGCACGATCGATTGCGCTGCCACGAGGGTGTCCGCTTGCTTCGAGCACAGTCAAGTTTTCCCCCTAGCCACCGTAGATATTGCCCCATGATAACCCGCTGTCGACTCAGTTGAACATTATCATGGCGTAAGTTCTCTCTCCCCTTCGCATTCATGAAGTCACCGGAATAATACCGAAGACGCGAGTACACGTCGACCATTATCATCGCTGTGACCTCGTTATTAATACTTTTGCAAAAAAAACTTAAAGGTTGCTGTAGTTACGTGAAAAACCGAATAAAATGAAATACTAAACGAATCGAATTTTATCAAGAAGCTGATAATATCAATTGAGCATAGGTATATTTAAAAAATGTAGCGAGGTATACAATCGTTAAAAATAAATAAATAATTCTAGTAACACACGCATGTGAAAACATATAAATAATGACTTTCCAGCTTTTTAGAAACCCGAATGCGTATAAATACGTGAGCAATCATGATAGTGTCGAAGAAAAACGATCGTGATTGATTGCGCTGTCATGATACGTCAATTTTTAACAGCGTTTCTCCGGATAACGTCACATCGATCTTATATCTTATATCATTCCCATTAAATATAACTCCACGAAATCTGTGCTTTTGTGAATGGAGATAAACCGAGGTTTAATTTCCCCTACAATAGATGGAAATAGTTATGTAAATCTCACAAAGAACATCATTATTAAGTCAAAAATTCGCGTGAATTCTGCGATATTTTACTGCATAGTTCCGCCTGATGCGGCACTGAAATCGGAGATGCTTTTATCGTTAAAAGGATTAGGTAATTGAAGTTTGGGCGGGAGAAAGCTAACAGCGGCTTCTTCGTCAGGGTGAAAAAGAACGGCAAGATAATCGAGTTCGTCGCTCCGCGTCATACGTTTCACTCTCCTCGGATCACGGAGTTGTTGCCGAGAGTGGTTACGAGCTGCGGCTGTTACCGCGAAAAATCGCATTAAAGCCAAATCAAATACGGCCTCGGGTAGAGCGAAAACGGTGAAGCGCGAAGTTTTCTAATCAGTGGTGAAGGATACAGTTCGCTCCTCGAAATACCGCGGAAAATGCGATTTATGGGTCGGACGTGGCAAAACTGAAGTGAGCGCGCACGAAGGTCGGACCCGCGATATTTCAAAGTCATCGGTTTAATCCGGCGTCTCTGTCCTTAATAATATCCGCGCCACCGAACACCTTGCAATATCTCCCTGTCTTCATAATCGATATTTGCCACTTATCGAATAATGGACACAGAATAGGAAAGTAAAGAAACAATAAAGATAATTTTTTATGTAAGTTACATAATGAATACACTCTTCAATAGTTTCGAGTATCTGGATCAATAAATGCGAGTATTCAACAATTTAATTCGTTTATAACAATTATCACAAAAGCGTATTAGATTACAGTTGGAGTCTCGTTAGACTAACGCAGTAGGATATATAACAATTGTATGTCAATTATCGTCCGACGAAAAGGACCACCGACTCAAAGAGTTAACTAAATCCAAACAGACAAGATATACACGAGGGATTCCTTTGTAACCGGAAATGGATGTCGCAGGACAACGGACTGGCGCGAATAATTAATGATATGACTGAACCCTTTGCATAGGTAGCGCGGGAAGTTGATACAAGCCTAGGTCTTTTCAACGAAGATCACTTAACTTAAAGTGTACCTGATGGCTACCCGTAATTACGGCATAAACCAACATTTTTGTTCAGAATTATTAAGCATCTGCAGAAAAAAATAAAAATAGAAAATACGTTACATTCTTCGTCCGTTGTACCGCAGAATAGGTGTATTATTGTATTTTAGTTTTGTGGAAATCCTATGTATGTGAAATCAGATGTTCATAGAAACAGCAATAATAATAAGGTAAGTACATTTTAATGATGTGAACGATTATACAAGCATCTCACAGAGCTCTTTCTTAGTGAGCTGTTTTCCTCTAAAATTAATAAACGAATAAATGAATAAGAAGTAGCTCTGGCAACATCTTGTATAATCTATTAGACTTTAAAATTTTAAAAGGTCAAAAATAGTATCTCGATGTGCTTAAAATTCGTATTCTCCTATCTCTATCTATCTTTTCTGTCACGTACATAATTAAAAATGCCTGGCATTCTGCAAAATACTTTTCTCTCTCAAGTATTCATTTATAAAATGTTTATAAACCGTTTTAGTAATGTTGTAATAAACGATATTCAATTCGCAACTTGTGTCACTGTTTCTCATAACGCTGTTTTCATATCGCGATGACTCGAATGAGATAACAATTCGCTTGGGAAATTACTATAATGTCAATGATCGTGCCGCGCCAGACGTGTCGATATTTTTAGGATTCGCAAGCAAAGATACGGCTGCACGAATCGCAACAAAATTTGTTTGCATATTCAATGCATACGTAACGACTTTTTCATCGCACAGTTATGAATTGATTTCGAACCGTTAACAGTTTAGGAGAGCGCGTTGCTACCGAATTTGATTTTCCGTTTTGACAGAAAATTGTGGTGCGAAGAAAATGTAACATTTAAATCATTGAGTCCCATTGCGAATATAATAATAATATCGCGGTATAATATTAAATTGTAATATTCATTCGTGAAAATGTATCAAAATCCATAATCCAAAAATTTCGCAAGCATTATGCGAGGATAAGTCTTGTTCAGTATTAAAATTTTAATAATTTTTTTAGTGAGTCTGAATGCAAATACGATTTTAATTTAAACTAGGAAAAGTATAATAAATGTTCAATTAAAA